TCGACTACATTGACAACTCTCTACTCCCAGTAGAAGCGGAGATATCAACGGAGAAAGGTGGGAAAACTTTAACCTTCGATATCTCCTAAACGGCTTGAGAAGCAGGCCTGTTTCTGGCACTAAAATAAAGTCCTCTCAAAACCCTACATTTTCGACTACATTGACGAGTACTACACTTTGATCTTAGCTCAGAGTGCCGAGAAGCGATGCTTTACAACTGCTACGTTCGCATTTTATCCTTTCCGAGTCGTTAATTCGACTCCGTGTATGCCAATGCAATCGTGCGCCACGTAGCGGCGATAGTTGTTAATACAAGGTACGTTCTACTGCTGAAAGAGAGCTGTAGTGATTCGTGCATCGTGATAATAATATGTAATAATGATAATATATTAATATTTTTCCCTATACGTGAATAGGCAAATATGGGTCAATCGTTTTTCCACCTCGATCATCGGATTTCACTGTAAAAACGCTACATTTTTCCATAAATTGCGACTGCCATCTCACTCAGAAAATTTATTTTCGGTAGTCCGACGTTTCATTCAGTGTTCTGGTTAGCCCCGCACGAGTTCTAAAGATTATTATTAATACTCGGAGCGCTAAAACCAAAATTGAAAGATTCTCGCCGATTTTCGAGCGGGGGGACATGGAAATATTCGACTCGTGGGACGAAAATCTGCGAGAACTCTTTCAATTTTGTTTTTAGCGCTCCGAGTGTTAATAATAATCTTCAGAGTTCATGAGGAGCTAACCAGAACTCTGAATGGAACGTCGAATTTCCGAAAAAATCTTTCGATCCGAGAGACATGGAAATATTCGACTCGAGGGATAAAAATCGGCGGCAACTCTTTCAATTTTGGTTTTAGCGTTCCGAGTGTTAATAATAATCTTCAGAACTCGTGAGGGGCTAACCAGAACTCTGAATGAAACATCGGATTTCCGAAAAAAAATTTTACGTGTTTAATAAACAATCAATTTTTTTTAAAATCCGATGTTTTATTCAGAGTTCTGGTTAGCCCCTCACGAGTTCTAAAGATTATTATTAACACGCGACGCGCTAAAACCAAAATTGATAGAGTTCTTGCCATTTTTCGTTTTCTAATTCGAGAATTTTTAATATAATTTTTCTTATTGTTTTAAACAGAACTAAACTAACTTTTTAAAACTTATCTAGAACTATAGAACTTAAAAATCTATCTAGAACTCTAAAAAAATTGTCATTTTTTACATAATGAGGGGCGTCGTGAAGTTGGCCTTCCGATTTTTAAAATGGTATTTTCTCTACTTTAAATGACGGAACTCTTTCTATAAAGGATTGCGAACTCTAGAACTCTGCGAGGAGCATTCAGAACTCTAATAATTTTTTTTCAAATTTGAAGAATGAAGGGCCATCTTCACAGAGGTGATGGAGCGAACACATTCTCTGTCTCTTTTTTGCTTGGCTCGTCGAAACAAGTCGAGCGGAGGGCAAGGTCTCAGAGGAAGTATCATCGACGAAACGTGCAATGCTTGCGATGCCCGTGTGTTGTATGCAATACGTGCATTTTCTTAAAAAATGAAAAAGAATTTATTGTAATACACGTATGTTGTATATAACACGTGCATTTTCCTAGAAAACGAAAAAAAAATGATTGACGAAAAAGAACAACGCCGACCGCCAAGGAGATGCGAACCACCGACCTCAACCTCGCAAGTCCAGCGTACTTCCACCAAGCCACACAATCCTTGAGAAGCTCGCTCCTTCATTTGGTTCATGCAGCACTCGCGATTTTCAATCGCGATTTTCTTGCAAACGCTTCAATGCTACGCCGTATCTTTAAGTGCAATGTTAATTTGTCATGCAAATCTATCGACACAACGAGTTTAGTCGAAATCGATTGCTATTGATCATCTCGTTGGATTCACGCCGAGAGTGAAACATCAGTCTCGGCCGTGTGTCGGGAAGCACAATCTCGGCAACGTTGCGAATCAGAGCGAGATGGAGCGAACACATTCCCTCTCTCTCTCTCTTTCGCTTGGCTCGTCAAAACAAGCCGAGCGGAGGGCGGGACTTCAGACGGATAGACGGGAGCAGTTTCTCTGAGTGTGTGTGCGGACTGCATTCTTACATAGAAACGTACGGCAATTGGAAATGTTTAAGCATATACCCTGAGATTCTATCTGTTGCGTATGTGTGACACGTGTGTGTGCGTGTGCGTGTGCGTGTGCGTGTGCGTGTGCGTGTGCGTGTGTGTGTGTGTGTGTGTGTGTGCGCGCGCGCGCGGGCGCGCGCGCGCGCGTGTGTGTGTGTGTGTGTGTGTGTGTGTGTGTGTGTGTGTGTGTGTGAGTGCGTATATGCACACGTACGTCACGCACACTTTCAATGCAATACATGCACACGGACACAACTGCGCTAAAAAACGCCTGCCGGAGTATAAATAAATACTAACGTAACGCTGAAATATTTTGGAAAAATAATTTTGGGTACAAACAAAATATTATCTTATTATCATATATTTATATATCGATATAAATCATATATAATCTTCATGATATTAATCATATACAATCTCAATTCTTATTTTTTTTGTGCATGTTAACATGTTAATTTATGTTACAAATGCATAACAATGCGCGAGACCGTGCTTGTCAAATACGCTATTATGGTTGTAGCACGGACATAAACCGCCTGAAAGTGGATGTAGCACGGACAGCCACCAGATACAGGTTTTACCGTCGAGACCTAAAAGTGCATGTAGCATCGTAGTTCCCCTCTCAAAATGGATGCAGATAGCGCCCATTCCCAGTGCGAAAAATCGATGTCGCCGAAAACGCCGTGTTGGCCGCTCTCAGCTTCCTCTCTGGCAGAAGCAAAGAGGAACATTTCGTTCGTTCGGTATATGGCTTTATGTAGAAAGGTGTACCCATATGCTATTCTCCAAAGAGGAACATGAAAGCCGGCCAACCGGCGTTTTCGGCTACACCGACTTTCCGCACTGGGAAAGGGCGCCATCTGCATTCATTTTGAGAGGGGAACTACGATGCTACATCCACTTTCAGGTTTCGGCGGTAAAACCTGCATGTAGTGGCAGTCCGTGCTATATCCATTTTCAGGCGGTTTATCTCCGTGCTACAACCATAATAGCGTACTTGACAAGCACGGTCTCGCACATTATTACGCGTTTATAACATGAATTAACATGTTAACATATGCAAAAAAAGAGAATTGACATTGTGTATGATTAATATCATGAAGATCATACGAAGTGTCCGGTAATTATAGCTGCCAACCCGAAATGTTAGGGTAGATTGGGTTGAGATAAACATAAAAGTTCCATATCGTTTTGCGAAATTCGTAATAATTATCGAGTTATTAATGACTTTGGTCATTAATAGTTGGACAGGAGATTTTGATACGGCAATCGATGTTTCAAGACTGTTGCGCAACGCATTATCATCCGATTTATCGCTAACGGAGGCGTCAAACCAGTTGAAATTTTGACCAGACTCCAAGCATAGTTTGGAGATGGTATTCTGTCAAGAACCCAAGTGTTTGATTGGGCCAAAAAACCTCGCAGTAACCGTAATGTTGTGGAAAACGAAAGTCACGAACGTCGTCCGCGATCGAGTGTCACTGATGAGAATATTCGGGCCGTTCGCGAACTTATGGAAAATGACCGGCGCTTAACTGTTGTCGAAATCTCATCGGAGGTGGGCATAAATATTGGGAGTGCTCACACAATTCTCTCAGAATACCGGCAATCCATTCGCGACGTTCTGCTTCTCCATGACAACGCGCGGCCTCATACAGCAGCCTTAAAGGTCATCATACACAAATGAACGTAAGCAGTAAAGAAACTGACCAATCACAATCAATTATTCTCGTAAATTTTAAAATGGGGTCCTTAAATTTCGATTGTGATTGGTCGATTTGCTTACTGCTTACGTCTTACTGCTTAAGTTTATTTGTGTGTGATGGCCTTAACCCGCGATAAACTCGGAGAAATATACTGGACACCTCTTGAACATCCTCTTTACAGTCCCGATTTATCCCCATGTAACTTTCACATGTTTGGACCCCTGAAGGAGGCTTTAGGAGGGGAAAGATTTAACAACGACGCAGCGATTGAACAGTACGTGCGCAATTGGCGCAGTTGGAGCGCCTTTCTTCTTTTTCTGATGAAGGGATCAAGAAGCTACCTATCCGGTGGAAAAAATGCATTTCCGTTGAAGAGAACTATGTAGAAAAATAATATATCATTTTTGTAATTTCATCTGTTATCAATAAATCTGTAAAAAAAATCCGGTTTATATTTGAATGGCCCTCGTATATATCTTTCTCTCTCATTTCCGGTTTTACCCCATGCGACGCGAGCCAATTAGCAATCGTTCATCCATCGGCCGATCTCTGTTTAAGGATCTCTAGTGCAAACCAGGCGCCTTTTTTGAACTTTTAAAATTGTATTCGAAAGTGTGCTCGTTGAGAGCTCAACCGCCGAAAGCTTCTTGAAAATTAACGCAATAAAACATTCCAAATCATCCTCAGCAGCAGCATCGGCGATAGCTCTCGCGCTGATTCCCGGAAATAGCGTGACCTCCATGACAGTGGCTAGCAGAAGCGTGAAAAACGTCCCAAACATGGCAAAACCTACGTTTCTCGCGTTCTTGGTCTTATGAGCGTTTAATCCAACGTCGCGCAACTTTGCAAATTTATACCCGCGGAGACACAGCTCCGCGGCTGGCAGCGAAGCTGGTGAAGCCCCGGGGCGAAAAAGATGGGGCTAGGCGACAGAACGACTGTTACGTGGACGCGGCCGTGCGGCCGGCGATGGTTGCAACACGGACATAAACCGCCTGAAAGCGGATGTAGCACGGACTTCCACCACATGCAGATTTTACCGCCGAGACCTGAAAGTGGATGTAGCATCGTAGTTCCCCTCTCAAAATGGATGCAGGTGGCCTTTCCCAGTGCGAAAAGTCGGTGTCGCGGAAAATGCCGTGTTGGCCGTTTTCAGGTTTCCCTCTACTATCGATAAGTATCGATGGAGTAAAATATCGATAGTTCTCCGTCTCTACTCTCAGGCGTCGCTTTGCGACAGGTTTCTGTCAATGCCTTGCATGAAAACGACATGGCATTTACGTTGTGGACACTTTTCGAAGCGACTTTATTATGCTTGAATGCAGTTTGCGTTTTAAATGAGGAAAGGTTTCTCGCCAAGGGTAATGATAAAGCATTTATGATTTTTATAAACTCTGATTCTTGTATATATTTTTATATCAAACAATATAAATAGTGAATACTTGTAACATTATAGGTTATAATTTTAAGACTAATGTTATTTTCTGAAAACAATATTTGAATCTGTATTTTGACATTAAACAGTTTTATTTTAGTTGGCTGGGCGTCATGGCAGAATGTACAAGGATTTGGTGAACCTCCTACTGCTAAAACACAAATATTGAATCTTATTAAGTCAATACGAACTGTAATGAAAGGTAAGTAATGTTAAAATCTGTTGATTACTGATGATTCTTATTATTACAGCTTCTGTATTAACTTTAAAATTTTCAGTTCCACTGATATTCTTCAACATCTTGACAATAATCGTGAAACTTATATTAGGGTAGTACATAAGAATTACAGTATAGGTATACAAATGAAATATTGTCTATAAACCAAATTATCGAATAATGTCTGTACAACTTATTAAATTATATTTACTTTTTTGGTGAAAAGGAATGTCATTTTTATCTGTTTCTAAAGGAACTTTAATACATTGGTAATAACTCTGTATAAAACAAGCAACATGTAATACCTCTTCTTCCTTCTCCTAGATAATTCCTGTATATACATATATTTTGGATGTAATATATAAAAATGACCACATTAACAAGAAATATCACAAATAATAAAATAATACAATTATACTTATATATAGTAGTAATATTATAAAAGTGATAATATTTATTCATACTCTGGTACGTGGGATATTTTTATTAAAACCAAAGACGTGTATGTGATTAGACAACAAGCAGTTAAATTATTGACCATTTTTGACATAGCAGTAAAAAAACTAAGAAATTGATTGGTACTACGAGCACACTTCATCTTCGATGTTCGCCAATGATTCTTTTCTACTAGCAATCATGTAACTTGTCCAAATTGCGAAATTTCATGACGACTCTTACTTTCAAACGAATGCCCGCCAGTATCTTTCCCATCCAGCGTATCAGGGGCTGTCTAAAAGTTTCTAGACCCGGTGCATAGTATCGGAAATAAGATCATACAATAGAGAAAACATATGAAAAGATTTATAATAATATAGTAGAATTTAATATATACAAAGCTTTCCCTTTTCTGAAAGAAACTTATAAAAATTTATGATTCCAGAATTCATTCTTCAGCACATTACAAATCGATTTTTGTTAACATGTTTAGAACACGTCTTACAACGGCCCTGCACAATGTATATACTCTACCCAACCTCATCTGACAGAAGGTGATGATTCCTCGCTTTCATTCGATGCTACCAGCTAGCTGACCTACAAGCCAAATTAGTTCATCCGCCGTCTTCTACTCGTATTGTGAGAGAATTCTCGAGGACCAAGGTAAGCCTTCGCTAAGCGCTAATTAGAAACGATAATGAACGATGTCCATAAGCCCATTGTAGTCGATTGGCGAAACCACCGATGAAAATGAATTAACGGATAGGAATTCGCATCTCGTAAAACGCAGCTGGCAGGGAGAAAATTTTTTTTTTAATTTTTAACGAACCGCCTTTCAAAGATCATTCAGTACGTCGACGTCTGAATTATCGCTCATTATTAGAGCTGCGAACGGCGCGAAAGGTCTAACCAATCGTCCTGCGAGAGTATTCATGTACCTTGCCTTCCCCTACACGAATTGGCTCTGTGTGCGCAGCACCGACGCGGCTGAAACAAACGTAGCTCCGGTCGCGCGCTTCCGCTCATTTCCATTTCAATTATTCCTTCCCGCATCATTTGAATCGTAAATCGTCTGGTCAATGGCCAGCGCGTAAATAATCATCGACGTTCTTCGCGGAAGATGCGCCGAGCCGAGCAAGTTGCCTTTGGCGTCTTTACGAATAAAATAACAGGACGCTCGGAAGGCCTCGATGATTTTCCACCAACTTTCTCCCCTTCCCAGCTTTCTCGGGATAAAAGAAGTACTCCTCGGGAGAGATAATCAATGACTATTATATCGAATTCGCACTTTGTCGTATGTATCATATGTATGTGTGTGTGTATGTATGTGTTCGCGATATGTAAGGACTCATTAGCGTCATTAAGCGTGAGTTGCGCAAACCGCTCGCGTATTCGCTCGTGTTCGATTGCATTGCGGAAGTTCCGTTTGCTCTTTCATTTTGTTCCGCTGGATTTCCTTTCAACACCTTTTCCCGATATTTTCCCGCACCGACGGAAAATCCAGTGGATACGCAACGGTCACGCGAAAATCGCGCGCGATTTTCCTTGCACACGTAATCCCCGCTTAGGACTTTTGTAAGGCACTGTCGAAGAAAAAATCGATTTCGAACCGTTGAAACGATTTATGGGTGCAAGGAGTGCCGGCCCCGCATGAGGTAACGTTATAACGACGCTGCGGTCATTTCTGCTTGGAAATTACGATCCCATTCGCGGCGCTGCAGGTTGTGTCCGAAGATGCAACGCCGGCTGCGATATTGCGCAAGGAATCTTGTCCGCGATTTACCGTACATCGATCGTGTTCGGCCGATATAATCCTCGCGAGCGATCCGATTATTTTCAGAGTCACGCGCGTCTCGAGACGACGTTGCACTGCCTGTTCTTAGACACGCAGCTGCGTGTCTTCGAAATTTTGACGAAAATGTGGCAGCAAAATGCCCCGTCGGTCCGACGTCGTTTGGTCAATTTCAAGCTGAAAGGATCTCACGTGTTCTTTTTCTCCGAACATTTTCGAGAGCATTCTCAACGCACGTGCGGTGCGAAAAGGATACGTGCGGATCGATTTATCTCGAGCATCGCGCCGGCTAATTAAAGCTCGCGTAATCCGACGGCACGCAATCCGCGAGCGACGCGCGACTCTAGCAATTACGAAAAGAAAAAAAGAACAAGAGGGAGCAACGAGGGGAGGATAAAGCGGCTCGCCGAGCCGCGGCGTCTTCGCGATCTCGTTCGCCGCTAACGCGGCGCGTCGAGCCACGCCGACGTCGTTGAGCAACTCGCGTTTATTCCTGTCAAAAGTCCCGCGGAAATGGGACTAGCGAAAGTAGCGAGGACCGGCGAGCGCATCGTAGAACCGGCGCTTGCGTTTTGCCTGCGCCCCGACAAATCTGCTTCCCATAATTGGCAGCGCGGTTGGCATTGTGTACGCCGCGCACTTCCTCTCCCGACGCTTCCCTCATTTTCACACGCCGGCTTTTCCCTACGGTTGCTCGCCGTAGATCAGCCTCGCCGATTATAAAAGCGGATCTTGCGCTAGTATAAACGACAGCGCAAGTTGCTCGCCGCTCGGCGGAGCGCCTCGGAGATTCTCGGCCCTGTCCGCGCGATTAATATCGTTCAATTCGCATTCCCGAACTTTCGCGATCCCGAGTATCAAAGTCGGCAAAGAGACACCGATCTCTTCGAGCGCGTATCTTTGTCCACAGAATTGATCGGAGATAAATCAGACAGACAGGTGGACGGTGCGTTTACGTCGCCGTTTGCATGTCCATCGGCCTCTGTCTCGGCCATATTTTCGCCATAGATTTATGTACATAGACTCCTTCTTACGAGGAAGACTCGAAGTCAAGATAGAGGAGACGGCCATGTTCCCCTTCTATTTTCCACAGACAGCACGTGCTGTCTTCGTCTAGCTTTCTCCGGTGAAGATCAAGCTGGACGAAGATCGAGCGTCCGTGGCACAGGCAATCCTTTTCAGATTGAACGCTGAATCCTGCCGTTGCAGCGTTCAGTATGTGCCTTTAGACCTGTGACCTTTAGCGATTTCCTCGCAAAAACAATTTTCCACTGGGGGTTTCCTTTTTTCTCTCCACTGCTCCAGCAAAGAGCAAAGAGAGACGCGCTGCTCTAACTGGATCGCGGCCGATTCTCCGGCCGTGTGTTTTTCTCCTTTCGCACGCCGGCAGACGAGTTCGCGCGCCTCTTGCAAAATTCCACGACGAGTCTCACACAGCGTGTGTGCGCGCCTCTCCATCTCCCTCCTGCCGATCTCACTGTGCCCCCCGACTGTGCGCCAAGTCGCGCGGCACTTTCCCTGCTCGGATGTCGCAGGTACACACGTAAGGCTCTCTCGCCGGCCAGATAGCTGTCTGATATCGCGCGCGCTTTCCTCGCATCTCCCACGAAATCATGTTTGATAGGTACTTTGTAGTGAAGTCAGCGCCATCGCCGTCGTCGCGCATCACGAAAGCGCGTATCGACTATGTACGTTAAGGGTAATTTATACGGTGCTGCTTTCATTCTCTTTGAGCAAGCAGCTTCTTGATCCGCCAGCGAATTCGCTGGTAAGAAAATTCCTCCAGGCGCTCGATTTTTATTCTCTAGCGTCTGAAATTTCGAAGACACGGCGTCAAAGTTGAACATATCCAACTTTGTTTCAGCGACGTCGCGTCTCCCAAATTTTAGACGCTGGCGAATAAAAATCTATGCGTCCACATCCTCGGCGGACATCCACGACACGTCAAACATAATCGCGGAAATCGTCTCTTCCGCAGTCTTACGTCTTTTTATATCTGCTTCCGAGTCTCCCGAAGGACACCCTCGCATCGCGTTGGGTCTTCGCCGAGGCCGGATTACACGAGCTCTAATTGTGCGAGCGCACGTGGAACACGTGCCGACGCGACATAGGCGGCTCTGGTTACGCTGAAACTCATTCCGCCGTTGAAGAAATGACGGGATGACATTACGCTACGGGGAGATTCGCAAGGGCTGCATTTCCACCGACGCGGGGAATTGCTCCCGTGGACGTTCGGCGCGCCTCGCGACCACGGGCATTCACTTTCTTCCTTTGGAAATTCCGCCGAACCCACGCTCGAACTCCGTCACGTCGACCGCTTGTCATTGACTCCGTGATGCGGAAGTGCGATATCTTGCGCGTCGAGATCGAAACAGCGACGTCGCTGAACGCTTGACACGGCGTCGCCATTTGTCTGCAATCGCATCGCGGCGATAGAGAGATACGGGGAGCTGCCAAGACGTGTTTCTTCTTCGCCGGGGTTACACGGGTTCTCCATGTGTGAATCCGCTCGATTCCCTTCGGTATCCCCCCCCCCTCATCTGCCGGCTTAGCTAGCGGCCGACTCACATTAGCGTTCACTTTCTTACTGTCCCGCTTCTTCTGTGATAATAACCGTCCGAGCTTGTACCGTTTAAACGCGGTACTCGCGGCATTTTCACATTGCGTAACGGAATGTTACGCACCTGCAATTTGCAAAGTTCCTCTTGGTCCACGTAGACCGCCACCTCGTACATCTCGCACCTTAGTGTGAGCAATCCGAATAAACTCACGCATCCATGTGTGATGTAATTCACGCGGATGCGGCTTAGGCTTTGAGATTTTGGAGTAATCAAGATTTCGTATAATGACTTAATCTGAGGCTAATCGCGTCTCGATTAGCTTCTTCATTTCACCGCGCCGGAAATTACTCGCAGTTTGCACGAACCACTGCTGCTTACTTACACACACACACACACACACACACACACACACACGCACGCACACGCACACACACACACACACACACACACACACACACACATACACACACGTGGCTGTCACGAGATTGCATATTAAATATCTTTTTCTTCCACTCATCCCCTCATTGAGGGACGTTTCAATTTCGATTCAATCCCACGCGAGATGATCGCATGTAAACACCATTTTCCGACACGCGGTGCCGATGTCTCGTCGACCAATACGTCTTACACAATTAGCCTCCATTTGTTATTTAGAGTTCACGAAAAAACCCACATAATTATCGTACTGCCCTCGTCATCGTAAACGAACGCTGTGGCGCGCTGTAGGAAACCGCGCTTGATGAACGCCGTCGTAAAAGTCCAGCTCGGTTGCTACTTGGAAACGCTAATGAAATGTTTTCGAGACAACGGTAAATATAAACGAGCCTCCTCTTAGCCGGATAACGCGACTTTAATTAGTCTAATAAAGACAACGAACCTGGTTAGCTAACCGACTTTTCTCACTCGGCCGACTCGTCCACGTTCCAATGCCTTGTGCGCACCGAAGAAAGATCGCACTTTCGTTCAGACGATAATTCGATGAAATTCTTTCTTGAGAAATGACAAATCTGACAATGAAGATCGGGAGACAAGAGACGTCCGCTTCGACAAAGTTCTTCGTTGCACGCTTCCCCTTGAATCAGCCATTAAGGGGACTGGAGGATCAGATTGCTGAAAAATCGTGCTTGTTTTTGATAATGTTTTGAGACGAACTGAATAAATTTTTCTACTCTTCATATGTTAAATAAATATATGTAAAATTTTCACTCTCGCACATTTATTTGGTTCGTCACAAAATCATTATCAAAAACAAGCACGATTTTTCAGTAATCTGACCCTCCAGTCCCCTTAACGATCATCTTGCAGCAACGCGACTTCCTGCTTGGAGACTTCAGCTACGAGAGGAAGAAGCGATAGGAAGCGTCTTCTTCTCCTCGGCAACTAGTATTCTAGTGAAATCTCCGAGGCTCTGCAGATGGGCATACGTTACATCATCCTGCCGCAATCAAGAGAGTCAGTGGCCGATGTTAATCTGCAGTGTGCGAAATATCCTGAGCGAGAAAGGAGTGCATCTCACCTCGAGCATCTCGAGATCATGACGGCAATGACGCTGCGCGAAGCTCCTCGAAAGTGCGATAAAACAAAAAGCGTTCGTCCCGCTGATTCCTCGCACAACTAATCCGTGGGTATTCCGTTCGCCTCGACGTAATCGCGAGCTCCAGCCACTTTCGAATCTTGACCAATGGCCAGATCCTTCTTTCTTCCTCTCTCTCTCTCTTTCTCTCTCTCTCTCTCTCTCTCTCTCTCGCTCTCTCGCTCTCCCTCTTTCCTTCTCTGTCTCTTCCTCTCGCAACGTGGCCCCTTTTGTAAGCAGAGAGACGTTTCTTTTGCATGCTCGCCGAGTGTTTACGTCATGTCCGAGCGGAGAAGCTCGCTGTCCCCTCTCCTCGGCAAGGATAATACGACTCCGTTGGCTCACGAGTCCACGGGTGAAAGGAGAAAGGTGCCGGTCTCTCGGAACACCGGCGAAAAGAAAGGGAAAAGATCGGATATCTTCTGCGGGGAAGATGGCGGCGCGAAGGAAACCCGTGCGAAACAACCTGCCGACGAAATCGACGTCCGTCTCTAACGGAGATCACAGGGTCATGCGGAGGAGGGGTATAGAGAGGGAGAGAGGCACGGCGAAATCGCAGTAATGGCGAACGTCGGCGATCGATGAAGATCGGCCGAGAGTGAAATTGGGAATGTCGGGGAGGAGAAAAGTTGGTCGTTCGCCGGGAGCGATTCGCACGACCCGCGGCGGATCGATCGGCCGGGAGGTGAGCGGAGGAAGAAGCACACGGACCTTTAACGGTGGCGACGTTTTATTTATTTTTTTTCTACAAAAAAGCCTTTATACAAGTACAAAAAGATGCGTGGTTAAGAAGTAGGGCGTTAAAACGTATAAAAAAATAGTGTGTATTCGTGGCTTCGTGTGTGTACGTGTTGGCTCGACTCGACGGCGTCCGCCCCGTAATCCCTCCTCCGAGTCGCTTCTCCGCCCTGCTGGTATACTCCTGATGATGACCTCACGGAGACAGATGGGAATCGATATCTTGTACGAGATCGACTCCGAGATACGCGCGCGCACGCGCGGTCCTCCATCAGCTCGTTCGAAGGAAACGGATGAGGAAGGAGCTCTCTCTCTCTCCTTTCGGCGATTTAGCAGAGCCCGGTGAGTTCTCGCCGGTGCGGAGGTCCTCGGCTGTTCCGTTGAAACGACCAAGTCGGGATTACGCAGCGGACGCCGCGCGGCAGCGATAGAACTTTATTTACAAGGCGCTGAACGCGCCGATCACGTCTTCGGCTTGTGGACCTCTTCGTCCTCCTCCTCCTCCTCCTCGTCCTTTTGCCGTTCCTCCGTCGTCCTCTGAATGTCGCCGGCGAGCCCGCGCCCGAGCGCGCGCGGTCGCCGGCTGTGTGAAGTGTATCTGCATCAGCGACTGCGACTTTGCCTCTTCTTGAGATATCACTGATCCTCGAACCCGTGCGCGGGCGCGAGCCCGCGGCGATAGATGCGATTTTGGTACGATTAGACTTCGGCACCACGCCGGCTCTCCTCAGGGTGATTTCTTCGAGCGACCGTCCGGGTCGGTGAAAATGGAAAAAAAAGGGAGAAGAAGAAAAAACTGGCCACGTTCACTCTCGCGGGCCTCGGCTTGTCGAAGCGACGACCGTTGGATCCCCGACAAATCGAGGGCCCGGAGGGAAACGCCGGCGGTATCTTTCGGCGGACCCCGGGGGACCCTGACCCGTTGAAGCGACGACTATTTTTGATCTTCAACGGCTCAGGCGCCGTCCCGAGGATCTCGGTTCCCGGTGCCATCTCGGCTCGTCTGCCGGCTGGGGGACGCGACTTGAACTCGCGAAGAATACGTAAGAGCCTTCGACGACCCGTGGCTGCTCCTCGGACGGTCCTCAATTATTCGGTCCATCTTCGTGAGGCGCGACAATTTCACCCCGACCTCGACGACCTTCCGAGCTGCGTCGGAGAAATGTGCTCACTTCGAGAGAGAGAAACCGATCCGTCGTTCTCCGTCGTGTAGGGTGTAGTGAAGATTTTCGTCAATCTCCTCGCGCGATCCTCGTTGCTTCGGTATTTATTGTACGCGTCTCGAAAGATAGTCGTTGTCGCCGACTGGTGCCATTATCGACTCTTCCTCCTGCTCCTCTTCTTTCTTTGCTTCCTCCGTCTTTGCTTCTCTTCCATTCTCTCTCTCCCTTTCTCTCCCTCTCTCTCTCTCTCTCTCTCTCTCTCTCTCTCTCTCTCTCTCTCTCTCTCTCTCTCTCTCTCTCTCTCTCTCTCTCTCTCTCTCTCTCTCTCTCTCTCTCTCATCGTCATGCAACCCAAGATGACTGCTTAGTACGGCGCACCGTAGCTACCGGTCGGCGGCCTGTTGGGCGTTCCGTAGCTGGTGCTGGGTCCACTGGGGTAACCTCCGGGGCCTTGGCTCACCTGGTTGAACTGGGCCACCTGGATGGCCTGCCTGATACCCTCGAGATCGATCCCCACGACGCGGGTCTGGTAGGTCGGCACACCGTAGGACGTGCTCGGGGCGCCATATTGCGGGGACGGGGCACCGTAGCTAGAGCTGGGCGCGTATCCTCCGCCTATACCGAACCCGCCGGTCTGTTGGGACTGGAGCTCTTCTTTCAGGAGGATCTGCCGGATCTGCTCGAGCAGAGCTCCGTCCACGGACGCGCCTTCGCTGGTCTGATAGCCGGTGGACACCTGGGTGTAACCCCCGCCGCCGCCACCGATGCCGAAACCACCGCCGCCGCCGCCGCCGCCGAAGGAGTAGCCACCGGTCGGTCTGCTGTAGCTGTAGCCGCCGGACACAGGCGGCTCGGCCAGGGCGAACCCTGCCAGACCGATGATCATACACTGTAATCAGCGAAAAAGGACGTGCGTTACTCTGGGCCTGAGTGGCCGCACACTCTTGGTCCTTCAGTCAGCTGCGCGTCCTTCAGTGGACGCGCGTATTCTCTCGGTCTTCGGTTAACGGAGACCTGTGGAAGATTTCACGTAGACTCGCGAGGGATTTCGCTGTCTTATGCTCTTCAGGAGACTCTGCGTAGATCGTGAGAGAGTGAATCGAGCGACTCAATCGCCGGTAATTGCTTTCGAGCGCTCTTTTGATAATCATAATGAAATCGGCATGATTTCGAACGTACGATATTAATCGGAACGGTTTTGGCCTTTTTAATTCCCGGAAGGTGCCATCGTGTCATTGTGCGAGCGAAGCTTCCTGCGAGAAATCAATGAGGCGCGAGCATAAAGGAAAGTATCGTCAGGCCAGGCGCCTAATGTGAAACTCGCGTCGCGAGAAATCACAGGCTCTAGCAACTACGTAGGCTGTTGTGAAATGCGATCTAGAAAAAAAAAGAGAGCACACTCGCTTTTTTTTTGTTTTTTAATCCCGATCACTGCGAACTCTCTACACTTCCTCGCGAGTTCTCTTTCTCTTCTTCTCGTACCGATCGCGCACGCGATTACATGCTACATTTTCTCACTCTCCTTCGTCTCGAAGCTCCACCTCTCTCTCTCTCTCTCTCTCTCTCTCACACCCTATCTCTCGCCGTCTCTTACTAGAAGTAGAAATGAAAAAAATCGTGCTTACCGCGATCAAAAGATTCATGTCGGCTTCTGCGATGCCGCTCAGTTCTGTGACTCCGTGGAAGGTAGACCGGAGTCATTTATACTCCCGGGAGAAGCAGGGGGATACACGTAAGGCCCCCACGAAGAAGAGACGGGGGCTTCTCGAGTGAGAGTAATTCACTTGTGAGACGATTCTCTCCCTCCCTCCTCGCGCGACCTCGTGCTTCTCTCTTTCTCCGCCAAGTCTCTCGATCCGCTCGTCCTGCTCGCGAGGGTCGGCGATGTACTCGAGATTTGGACGTTGAGATCTTGCGAAACGCGGTCTCTCTCTCTCTCTTTCTTTCTCTCTCTCGATAGTCAGCCGCGAATATCTGTTTGCGTCCTAGACCTAGACTTCATTAGTCGGATCCATCGTCGTAGCGATGGTCCCGCGAAAGAATTTGCCTCAGCCACCTGCTATATATTAGTCTCTGCGTCAATTTTTTTACGACCATAACAGCGATTTTTATAATTATGATTACAGACATTTTTATGGTTACGGATGTTGACATCTGGACGGGAAGAAACGTATGATTTAACACGCGTCTATAAATCACAGGTACGATTATTGTTACCTGTCGTAAGGATTATTGGCAACGCTCGAGGGCCTTTGAGTTATTTCAACGTGCCGTTGAAATTTTACGGGGTTAGACAACATTATTCTTCGTGAATTGCGAAAGCGAGACGCTTTGATGCACGCCCTTGACGATTTTACGACTCGTGCAACCATTCGTTTAATAGCACATGACGATTAGAAATAGTCAGATTTTGTGCGCACGTTCTGATGGGGAATTGTACGATCGCGATAACTTGACTGTTTGAATAGTCGAAATCTCATCAATCGTGTGATCGTGCGTAAGACAACGACACTTTACACGGATTTGTACGTCCTGAATAGGTCACTTGAAAGAAAGTTGGCAGTAATTTCAGAAATGCTTGAGATCGCACGGCCAACAAGCGGCCGATTCGGTTAATGATGTATCCGCTGAAGGAAGAGAGAATTTACATTGTCTCCGCGGGGTTTTCAGATTTTCCTACGACTAGAAGCGTCACGGGCTAAATTTCACGTTTCCCGAGAAACGTAGCCGAGAAAAATTCACCAGGCCCTTTCAATGTCTTCCATTTCCTTGCATGTTGCAACCTCCGTGGCCATTGTCACTGTACCTACTTTGTTGGCGTTGCGTCAGGAATGTGCTTATCTTAACGCGAATGTTTCACATGAGAATAACTAGTCTGTGTGGCCTCGCTGCTAAACGACTTGACCGGTTCTCTCGACCGCCGAGGAATAACTTCGAGCGCTTAATTGATATTTAACGCGCACGTGGGACAGACACGAGCTTGGCAGTTGGTCTGGCGCTTAACAAGTCTCGTAACTTTGCTCGTATCTCGCGACATTTTATTTGCATACACACACACACATACGCGCGCGCGCAGGCGCGCGTGCGCACATTATTACGCCTCGGCTTGAAAGAGAACCTGACGCGAGAAAAATTGCCTTTATTCAGAATCCGAAACTTCAAGTCTCGCATTAACGGACAATCTCCGCGGGTAATGGCGGTTAAGCAAGATCCCGTTGAGAGACGAAATGTAGTTGCGCGAATAAGTAATTCGCGTTCTGCCATTTGCTGGAGTCGCGTGTAGGTGAGCTCCGAACGCACGTAGCGCGCGATCGCCTGTCAGAGTCACGAACTTTTGCTTGTAAAAGGAGAGTCGGGCATCAGGAAGAAAAGTACGCGCTACGCCATCATTGTATCATCCATGCGGCGAAGCTTCCGTGCGTTCGAATCGACGTAATCATCGACTTCGTGACGAGCGCATCTTGCATGCATCAACACACGCGACGTGGCTGTCCTGAAAAGCGCTACCAGTGCACCGATACCTACAACACCCGGCCGTAGTTTTCGCACGCGGTTTTGCGCGCGACAAAGCGCCTCCATAAATCCCATTATTCCGGGCGTGATTTTTTCATGCGAGCACGCCGCTTATGATACATTATGTTTCGCAACGTTCGCTCATATCTCCGCGAGAGTAACGTTTCTCTTTCGCGCGGAATTTGACGGCGGCATCTACGAACGAGCGGGAAAGCGCCGAAGCCGAAGCCGCGATATTTCGGAATGCAAAATACGGGATTCGACGTGTTTTACATTTCAAGTCCTATCGCTTGATTCCTAACAGTCCGCGAGACCCGACGCGATGAAGAGACGGTCTAATAGAGGTCCCATAAATAGAGCTATAATTTATATCCGAAGAGTCGAGGAAGTATATATTTGAATAGACGGAATTTGTGTGAATATGCAAACTTTCGAAAATGCGGGACTCGGAGATGTCGAAGGAACATGCAATTGAATCGGTATAGAATTTCATGAAGAGCTCCGAGGTTTCGAATCTTCGAAGCGTCGGGTGTATGAAATGAGTAGCGCAGCCTCTAATCTCCAAGCTCGCCAGCGGCCGACGGTCGAAAAGAATACAATTAAGAAGTTTGCAACCACTTCGCTCTCTGCGGCAGTGAGAGACTTGAAGGCGCTTAGAGGAGGAAGTCGATTACGGTTGCCTGGTCTGGCAACGCGGCGTTCGTCCAGTGTCCGGTTCCCATCCTCGCCGGTGACGGTACCAACTAAACGAGAGGGAAAACGCTTTCTTCGGCGAGGAATTTAATTATCCGGCCTGTGAACTCTTGACCCACTTCCCCGCGCATTATGACCTCGTATATCCTACCTCCTTCGCTTTCTTCTTCGCCTTTTTTTCCCTTCGATCTGATTCGCTCTATTTCTTTCTTCCTCTCTTGCTTCCGCGCGCGCGCACGCGCGTTTCGCCCGGTTGTTGGTCCCGACCACGACGATGACGACGACGACGACCATGGCGACGAGGATGGATGCGCGCGAGGCTCGTGCTTTTCGGCGATTACTTTCACGTGTCCTTGCCGTTTGAAGCTAATAGTACACGCACGTAGCGAGATGGCCAATTTCGGCGCGGCAAGTACACATACGCCGACGATTTTTTTACAGACCACGGTCCCGATTGTTACGTCAGCGACATTATATTCGATTACGCAAAAATCGCTGGCAGCTGCAACCGCCGGCTCGTTCTGCCGCAGTAACTTTGTCGTCGCTCGTGCACTCGCTGGATCTTCGACATGTTTGCACGAGAACGCGAATCCCGCTTGGAACGATAAAAATCTCGTGATAACGGCGTGAACCTTTGCTTTCCATTCCGCGGTTAATATCTGCGCGTTGTATGTAAATATATATATAAGTATACATATATTTTTTTATTCAGAAGACTTGTGTAGGCAATCTTGAGAGACCGTTGCGTTTTCGATGGCGTCATCATCTCTTATCTGTACACATATTTGCGCAACTCAGATGCTGAATCGCGAAAGGGCCTTGAATCGAATTATAGTTTCTGATAAATAATATTTTCCGCTTGCCCGGCTGCTCGCCGAGGCTCTCCGCGCCAATTTGGCCGCACTATCATGCGCAGATATGACAAGTTCTTTCATTCCTGAAGAAGGTCCTTCATTCTTGTCACTTCTGTCAATACGAGTGCCAACGTGTTGATTCACTATGAATTGGTGTTACGAGGCTTTAATGCTCGAGAGAACAGTGTTAAATCAGCGGTCTGCGGTGTGTCGATGACAGCTATAAAATCTGAACAACGTACAATCCACATGCTCCTGCGCGCCGGCATGGAGTCCGCGCGCGGCGTTTCACGCTGGCCGATTTATTTCTGCCAATTTCGACATTATTCGAGTGAAGGCAAACGAATCGCACAGATAAGGAGAAAAATCTTTCTCGCGAGCGTGCGCGTGCGAGAAACACACCTGTGCATACGCACCTTAGCGAAGTGAGCAAAACGGGGAGAGAGGGGGGATGGGAATCAAGAGGGAGGGTAGCCTCCCGAATCGTGCGGTGTGTATTATGGCAGATGAAATATGTTGACACAGAGAAAATGACAATGCATCATTCCGCGGCGCCACATTTGTCACATTACGACGCAACCAGTCGATCGCGCTTTTTCTGTGCGCTCTTGGAGAAATGTTTAATTCAATTTAATTTAATTCAATTTAACCCTTCATTCCGCACTTTTTATATTGATGACCATTAATAATTATTTTCATGTGCAGGATTGGTCGAGGAATACAGGAAAAATTTTTTAAAAAATATTTCACTTATATTTTTCTGAAAAATAATTTTTTTTGTCACTTTGCATATCTGCAAAACTAGCGCAAACTGGTGGCCAATTCTTTTTTCCCGCTTAGAGCCGCGTCTGTTCAAATAAGCAAAACAATCGACAATGTTAAACTGACTGACAGCAGAGAAAATCCAGTTCAAACTCTGCTTTGCAGATGTGCAAAGCAGCACAATGAAAGGTTAATCTCCCTTCTGATCCCTTTGATTTTCATTCCACTTGAATCCGATCTCGATTTTCCTCTCGATCGTTACAATTTCAGCCCCAACGCAATTGAATTTTTATTTCTTCCAACTTCCACTTCTCTTTCTGCGAAGCGGAGCGAAGAGGAGCTTCTCTCTCTCTCTCTCTCTCTCTCTCTCTCTCTCTCTCTCTCTCTCTCTCTCTCTCTCTCTCCCCCTCTCTCTCTCTCTCTCTCTCTCGCCCGCTCGTTCATTGTCACGTTCTATCGCGTGTCCGCGATTTTGACTTCCTCGATCGCCGTAGAAGCAATCAACGGCCCGGATCGTCGATCCCGACGACTCGAGTAACACTCTCCAGCCCCCCGAGTCACGTCGCAACGTGTGCTGTGCATCCGAGTTTCTCAGATATTAATGTTGCAGCGTCGCATGGAAGGAACGACTCCTCTCTCGTGTGGAAGCCGAGCTTGACTTTCGCTCGGCCAGCCGAGCTTCTGCTCTCTCGCGCCGGTCTTCTTCCTCTTCGCGGCGTCATTCGCTTCGTCATTTTTCTCTCGTCCACGCTGCGAGGAATTTCCTCTCAAACAGTCGAGACTATTGACTCGATGTCGTCGTCACCTGCGGCTTCTCCAGCGTTCGGTTTGATCGAGGCTAGTTGCGCGCAACACCGGGAGACGGACTCCCGCGGTGTCTCGAACGAAACGACGTTGAAAATGCAAGTCGACA